ACAGAAAATTTGAAAAACTTACCAACAAGCTGATTTGATGGACATATATGGTACAATTGTGGAATGTAGATTCTTTTCAACCACACACAAAGGAACATTTATGAAAACTGACCACATCTTGGGCCTTAAAGCAAGTCTCAACAAGTTTCAAGGGATCAGTAACATTGAGATCATCTTCTCTAACCGTAATGTGATTAAGTCAGAAACCAATAACAAGGAGATAGCTAGAAAAACCCTACACTTTCAGAAATTTTAGAACACATTGTTAGATAAAATATGAGTCAAAGAGGAAAATATAATGGAAATTAGATAATATTTAGAATGAAATTATAACAAAAATATTAGACATCAATATTAGGGCCATGTGTCTAAAGAGATACTTAGAAAGAAATTTATAGCATAAATCCTTACATTAAGAAAGAAAAAGTTGCAAATTAATGAATTAATCATCCAATTTAGGAATACAAAAAAAGATAGAAAAATATAGAAGGAAGAAAGTAAGAAGATATGAACAAAAACAAATGAAGCAAAAAGCATATAAAAGAGAGAATATATAAGTCAAAGTTTTAGGAATAAAAAGGCGACACAACTCCAGATGCTAAGGAGATCAGGCAAACAATAAGAAATATCAGTAAATAACTTTATGACAATAAATTGGAAAATTTGGATGGAATTGATACATTCCAGGAAAAGTATGTTATCAAAATTGAACCAAGAATAAGTAAAAAATCTAAGCAGTTCTATTACCATTAAAGGAAATAAATCAGTAGTTAATATTTTTCCCACAAAGAGATGGTGTGCCTGGATGGTTTTATAGGTGAGTTTTACCAAACATTCAAGCAACCCATGAATGAGATCTCTATGGAGAAAATATTGAAGGGCTTTGAAGAAAATCTAATAAATGGTGAGAGATACATTATTCATGGATAGGATACCTCAGTATCATAAATATGTTTGTTTCTTCCCAAATTCATCTGTAGATTCAATGTAATTCCAAACCAAATCCCAACAGGGTCTTTCCTGGAATTTGCAACCAGAATCTAAAATGGATCTGGAAAAAGTAAAGAGGTAGGGTTAGCTTTTTTCCTTACCAAGAAGGAACACCAGGCAGGGAGACGTGTGCTCTGAAATATCAAGATTTATTATAAATTATTATTGTGATCAGATAGTGCATTTGTGGTGCAGGGATAGTTAAGCTGAGCAATGGAAGAGAGTAGAACCTCCAAAACAGACCCGCAAATATATGAACCCTTAATTTGCAACAGAGGTGGCACCGCAGATCCGTGGGGAAGGAGAACTATTCAGGGATTGGCAAACTATTTTTGTAAAGGGCCAGGTAGTAAATGTCTTAGGCTTTATGGGCCTCAAGGTGTCTAATGCAACTATTCCACTCTGCCATTGTAGCATGAAAGCAGCCAAAGACAATATGCCTCTATGTATTGTAATACATGGCTGTGTATCCAATAAAACTTTATTTATAAAAAAGCCAAAAACATAACTTCATTTGTGTACACCAAGATTTAAATTTCATGTACTTTTCATGGGTCATGAAAAACTATTAGTCTTCTTTGGATTTTTTTTCAAACATCTAATAATGCAAAAACCATTCTTAGCTACCAGGCTGTGTGAAAACAGGTGGAAGGCTGGATTTGGTCTGTGGGCCATAGTTTGCCAATCCTCAACCAATAAATGGTTCTCAAGCAACTGGATAATCATATGGATTTTGTGCTGTACAGAAAAAGTCAGTTTAGGGAGGATTTCAGACTTATATGTGAAAGGCAATGTATTAGGGTTCTCCAAAGAAACAGAACCAATAGGAGATATATATATACATGGAGATTTGTTATAGGAATTGGGTCATGCAGCATGGAGGCTGAGAAGTCCCATGATCTGCCATCTGCAAGCAGAGAACCAAGAGAGCTGGTGGTATAATTCAGTCTGAGCCAAAAGGCCCAAGAATCAGGGGAGCTGATGGTTTAAGTCCCAGAGTCCAAAGGCTGGAGAACCAGGAGCTCCGATGTCTGAGAGCAGGAGAAGACGGAAATCCAAGCTCAAGAAGAGAGAGTTTGTCCTTCCTCCACCTTCCTTGTTCTGTTCCCCGCCCTGAATAGATTGGATGATGCCTACCCACATTGGTGAGGGCAATCTTCTATACTCAGCCTAGTAATTCAAATATTTAATCTCTTCCAGATACACCCTCACAGACACACCCAAAAATAATGTTTTACCAACTATTTGGACACCCTTTAGCCCAGTCAAATTGACTCATAAAATTAATCATCACAGACAAAATTATAAAATTTTTAGAAGGAAACACAGGAGAACATCGTTATAATCTTGCTGTAGTTCATAAGTACACACACACACAAAGGATAAAAGAAGTAAAGCACAAAAAGATAAATTTGATTTTGTCAAATAAGAACATCTGTTTATCAAAACACACCATATAGTAAATGAAAAAGCAGGCTAACACTGGGAAAAGATGTTTGTAACACAAAAACTGACAAAGGATTAGTATACCTAGCACATAAAGAACTCATACAAATGAATAAGGAAACAGACAAACAATCCAGCAGAAAAGTGGACAAATATATTAAAGAGCCCTTCACTGAGGAGTAAATACAAACATTCAATAAACTTGTGACAAAGTGGGGCACTTCGTAAGTAATTATAGGAATTTGAATGAAAAGATCCTGTGCTATAGCTACCATGCTGACAAATATTTAAAAAGATGTTGAGCAATTGCAGTTCTGGGATACTTCTGGTGGGAAGGTTCATTTTGCCTTCTTTCTCTAAAGAAGCTGAAGGAGGTCATACCCTACAACCCAGCAACTCTGGTTTGGGGTCCTTTAGTGAATGATAATGTCAATTTAGAGGGTCACAGTCAATGTTTTTAGAAATATTAAATGAAACAGAATGATAGAGAATAGAATTTATCAGAGAGTATCTCATCTAGTTTTTTGGTAAATTTTTTGGTAAGACTTTTAATTACATACTTCAACTCTCTATATATCTTGACGCATTATAAAATGTATTTCTCATTGCGGGTCTTGGTCAAAAAGGAGTGAAAGCCTCTGCTTAAAGAAGAGCCTCCAAGTGCACCAGGAGGTTTGTGTGAGGATGCTCATGGCAGTTTTGTCAGTAACAGCAACATGCTGGGAGCACCCCCAATGTCCACTGACAGGACACAGGATAATTAAACTGTGCTGCATTCTACAATAGGAACACCGTGAACATGAATGAATAGTGGCTACAGTCCATCAACATGGAACCTAATCTTGAGCAAAAACACTCAAGGTGTAGAATGCACGATGTTTGATTCTGTTTTTACCAAATTCAGAAAATGCAACCTAATATATATTGTTAAGGGATATGTTTATATGTGTAAAGTATTTTCAAAAAGCAAGACAATAGTGGACACAACATTCAGGAAAGTGGCTACAACTGTACTAGGAGGGAGAGGAACACGGGGCTAAATTTTTTTATGACAGCTTTGTTTAGAAATAATTCACATACCATACAGTCCACCCATTTAAAGTGTACAATTCAGTTTTAGTATATTCACAGAGTTGTGAAACCATCACCACAATAAATTTTAGAACATTTCATCACCTTAAGAAGAAACTCCATACCCCTTAGCTACCATCCCCCAGCCTCCCCAACCCCCTCAGCCCTAAGCAATCACCAATTTACTTTTCTGTCTCTATATATTTGCCCATTCTGGACGTTACATATAAATAGAGTCTAATAATATGTGGCTTTTGTGACCAGTTTCTTTCACTAGCATGCTTTCAAGGTTCCTCCATATTGTGGAATGGATCTGTACTTCCTTCCTTTTTATGGCCACATAATATTCCATTATATCATCATACTCCATTTTGTTTATCCATTCATAAGCTGATGGATGATTGGGCTGTGTCCACCTTTGGATAATCATAAATAATACTGCTTCGAACATTTGTGTACAGATTCTTTTGTATCATGGGGCTTATTTAAGATATTGGTTATTTTCTATTTCTTCAACTAGGTTGTTGCTGTATGGGTATTTCATTGTTATTTCTTACATCTTACACTTATGAGTATTCTTCTATATAGATATAAGATTTAATAAAGCTCATTAAAAAGTATATGTAGTCTAAGATATTTCTGGAAGGATACCAAGAAACTGGTAAGTTTGCCTCTAAGGAGGGGTACTGGGTGGCTGGGGCTGGGGGTGGGGAATACAGAGGCTGATTTTTCCCTTTATGGCCTTTTATACAATTAAAAAAAATGTATATATACATATGTACACACACATAAGACCAAAGATATCTATTCTGGCTGTGGTCCTAGCTTTTGTGGCTTGTCCCTGCCCACTCTGCCCAGTTGGGAGCACTCTGGGCAGCAGCTGCATGACAGTAAGCAGTGGGACAGCAGAATCTCCAGCCCACCAGCCTTTGCTTTGACTCCCCTTTCATGTGGCTCTTGGGCCAGATTTTTGACACCCTGAACAGATTGGATTAGGCGAAAAGCTACAAGCCCTAGAATGGGGACCGTGACGTTTCTTCTGTCTCCACCCTGCACAGCTTGGTGAGTCACTGTGCCAGCCCGGCCCTAGGTCTCTTCCACTGATAGCGCCCAGCCAAGTCTTCCTGCTCAGGGAAACAGGGCTGTGATGTTGTCTCAAGGGGATGGTGCTGTCTGGACCAAATGAGATCACCTGACTCAAGGCCAGCATCAAGTGGGGGCCAGCCCAAAGGGCTCTGGCCAACGGGGAGGAGGTCGTTAGCTAAGCCAGCCCCATATCTCCCTGCAGAATCAAGGAGGGGGAGTACTGCCCGGTTTGTCCCACTGAGACGAGAGGAGAATGGAGTGGAGATGCTGAGACAGGCTGAGTCTCCATGATGGCAAGACCGCTTTGCTGTGAGCGTGGCTAGTCTACAGAGATGCTTTAAATCCTCAATAGTTGTCCGGTCTCAGTTTCGGTCCACTTGTATCCTGACAATAAAGCTCTTTTTTTGCTAAGAGCCTGAAGAATGTAAGTTACTGGTCCTCACTTCCCCACCCGCATGCCCCATAGTGAGGATGCTAAGCGCCCTCCCCACCCCCACGCACCCCTACCTGTCCAGTTCATCCAGGATGTTACAGCCCATAGATAGATGTCAGATACTTATTTAGGGCTTTGGGCGGGGTAGCACGCTGGTGCCTAAAAAAGCAGCCCCTCTACACCGAGGCAGTAGTGAATCTTGGGTTTCCATTTGATCTAGAACGCGTGTTTCTCAACTGTGGGAGAGAGGGAGAAAGGGGAGTGGTCTCTCGCCATACTTCCCGCAGAGCAGGTTCCCTGTTTCCTGTGTCGGGGAATGTGTCTCTGATGACATGCTTTGTCCAGTTCATCGGCTTTGAGGTTGGTGGAAGTGTTTGTATGTTCTGGTCACTATCAGTCCCAGTTTTCGGGTCTCCTTGGAGCTCCTCTCTTCTTTTCGAATCTCTTCACTTCGTCCTTCCTCTCCCCTTCCGGCCTCGTCCCCGCACCCCCCCGACTTTGCTCGTTCCGCTCTCCTCCTCTCCCCTCTGCCCTGAGACTTGATTTTTGACCATGCCCCTGACCTCAGCCATCACCACGTCTTCTGCATCTACATCTCAGACTCTGATTTCTCTTCCCTCTCACTGATTTCCAGGCCTACTTGTCTGCTGGACGTGTACCCTGGCCCTGCTTTAAGATAGAGCAGTTTTTATGGAAACTTTCATTTTATCTATTTAATTGCAGTTAAATGATGATTTAATTGCATAATGATGATTCATGTTTTAAATATTCGTATGCCTGGGCAGGGACAGAGGGAAAACGAAACTTAAAGGGAATAAAAGGCTGGACATACAAGGAGCAACACACAGACAGAATCTTGACGGAAGGATGGCTTCGGTGAGTTCCTGTGAGCTTTTATTTTAAAAACAGTAACTCTGTTAGTGGTGATATGGGGGGTTTCCTTGTTGGTCTGCAGCTCTGGCACAGGGGAGCACAGGTACACGCTGAGGCCTTGAGGGTCTGGCTACCTGGGGATGGGAGGTGGGGAAGGGGGTGAGCTGCTCTGTGCCGTCCTGAGGGGGCAGGAACGGTGGACTCAGGGAGGGCACCCCTGCCCCACTGCCCAGGCCCCTCTCCTCAGTCACACTGTCTTCAGTGGGTGGAATGAGCTGGGGGGGAAGGGCAGGAAAATGGCTCACAGCGGTGTGGGGCGGTGGTGGGGGGCTGTCGGAAAGGCATTCTCGTCCACCCTCATCTCCCAACAGCACCAGCATCCTTTTCCCTCCACCTCTTTATTCCTTCTTCCTCCTGGCTCAACAGAAGCCACATTCCTGAGTGCCCTCTGCATCCTGACACCATGCAAAAGGCTTTTATTTCATCTTCTCAACAACCTGTGAAGTAGGAATAATTACCCCCAACTTATTACCCAAGAGGCAGAGAGGACATTCGAACCTAAGCGGGTCTGACTCCAAAGCCTTTGTTTTTTTTTTTTTAACTAATTTTTTAAATTCCAAAATAAATATGTGAATACTTTTTCCTTGTTAAAAAAAAAAAACCCAAATCGAAACTATTAGCCTTAAGGCTGAAGTCTGCTTCTACCATCCTCCCCACTGTAGATAGTTCTTCCTCTGTACAGCTTGGTGTGTGTCCTTCCAGACTTTTCTACGATTTGCATACATAGATATAGTTACCTTATAAGTGTCCTTCTGTGGTTTTGCGTTTTGCTGTAGTTTTTAATTTGGTTCCCTGAGTACAGTTCATTTAGGAAATGCTTGAATGTTTGCCTTTATTTACGAGTTTTTGGAGTAATATGGTGATTCTTTTGCAAGCTCCAAGGTGACTAATGAATTTTTAAAATATCATTATGAACACACAGATTTTAATATATTTGATGTGTTTCAATCTATGTGCAGTTATTATTCTTTTTGATGCTCAGATTGTCCCATTTTTGGTCAAGTTGACTCTTGGCTCCTGTAGTCAAAGGCTTTAATCTCAGCCATGTCTCCCCACCAGACTTCTAGTCGGCTGGCATTCTCCGCTCCCAGCAGCAGCTCAATCCCCCGTCAGGGTGGTCCAGCCCCGTGTGGCCCTGCTCAGCTGGGTCAGGGGAGGGTGGGTGCTGGCTGGCCTCAGAGCATTCCTGAAATAGAACTCCCTTGGCAAGGGCGTATCTTGCATTCTGAACGTGACCAGGGCAACAAACCTCCTGCTCACGCAAACACCAGAGGGCACAGCCCCTCCACCATCTCCATCCTCAGCCTGTGTCTTGGCCTGGAGCCCAGACTTTAGCTGCCGCAGGCTTGGCTGGGACATTCTGGGATTGTTAAGGGCATAATGTAGGAAACATTCAGACTTGGTTTCCATCTTGCTCTTCTACTCCTTGGGTAAGGATCTTTGACAAGTTACCTAACCGTCATGAGACTCAGTCTTCTCTCCTGTCAAGTAGGGTAATGTTGTTCTTATTCAAAGGAGTGATGCAGAACGTGGGTCGAGTGTTGAGCACCATGTCTGGCACGTTGGGCTTTGTGGGTTGGAACTCTGTAACTCACAGGAATCACTCAGGCCCTTGTAGAAGGTGGGTCGCCCTTTATGGGGCATTTTAATGCTCCTGGGAATCACATACTCGCTGATACAAACATGCGCCATGCATAACATGCACTCACACCCAGCTTGTGCACACCACTGCATCACGTGGACTCCTGTGCTACACACCCACCCACACCATCCCTCATGGACACCCTCTCCATCTCTTCTTCGTCCCCTGAAGAGCTCATTCCCAGCCCTGTAGCCCCAGTAAAGGAGGGGCTTCCCACCTGTGCGAGGAGGGCTCGCTCCTCCCTGTGTCCTGCAGGTGATGAACAGAGGGAGTCTGCAGGCTGGGCTGCGGCTCTTTGCAGGTCAGGTTCTAGAATGTTCCCTGCAAGGACTCACCTCTGCCTGTCTCTGGTTTTTCTTTCGGAGGCCAAACCGAGACCAAGGCTTGGAGACCTGATTGAGATTTCTCGCTTTGGCTATGAGCACTGGGCCGTCTATGTGGGAAATGGCTATGTGGTCCACCTGGGTCTCTCAGGTAAGGATGGGTTCTCTGCGTAAACACAAGGGTTGAGGTGGAGAGTGTGAACAGTGACACAATTATATGCTTGTTCTCACTTCAGTGCCTGGCATAGTAGGCACTCAATAACCATTTGGTGGATGAATGATGCACTTCCCCGCCAGGTGTATAAATTGCTATTCTTCCTAAGCAGTAAGTTCGTGGAGAGACTGTTGACCTTTATCCCATTAGAGAGTGGGGTTTAGTTCCAGCCAACCCACTTGGGAAGCGTTGGGTTGAAAAGCAACCCTTCATGGGTCCAAACTCCTACGTATTTGTTGTTCTGGAAGGACAAACAAAAGTAAGAAAACAGCTATTTCCTTCAAATAATTTACACCTGGCTGCACAGTGTAATGGAAGGGGCATGGGCCTCCCAACTAGACAGAACCAGTTTGGAATCCTGGGTCTTCCGCCTACCGACTGTATGACATGCACATGTGGTTTCACTTCTGCTAAGTTCAGCTGCACCCTCCGGAGAGCAGGGATAAGAATCTACCTCCCGGGCTGTGGAGGGATGAAACGAAGGAGTGCACGAGAGACTGGTGCAGGGCTTGGCCAGTTGCTGAACCCACCTCCCTTTCCTTCTGGAGCATTGTAGCATGAAAGAAAACGCCAAAACATTGGAAACCACTGAACAGCAGGAAACTGGCCAAATAAAATAGATACATGCTATACATGCTATACAACCATTAAAAGCAGCTGTACGGCAGGTGTGTGTATACATATGTTTGCATATATGCATATACATACATACGTATATATATTCAAATTCAATTTTAAAAAAATTGGCTTATGTTGCTATGCAACCTGCTCAGGAGCTTCCTGGATGTGATCCGAAACCGGCCTCCATATAAGGAGGGCAGGGAGAGACCACAGAAAAAGGCAGCCCACTCCAAATTGGTAGGTGGCAGTTTAATAAGGAAGGGAACTTACTCCTGAGGCTTGTCTTGGATGGCTGCAAAATGAGTAAATCTCTGCACCTAATCGCCAATCTTAAAAGTTTACGTAGAGGCTTTGACTGGGCTCCGTCACGTACCCAGTCTAGACAGTCTTATCACCACGTTTCTATCTCAAGGCTGTATCTTTGGAGCAGCTTCTGAGAGCGGCCAGCCGAGCAGAATGCACATTCCAAAGACAGGGGAGGGAGTGAGGAGCCTCCACTTGCCCAGGTCCAGCTCAAGGGTCAACTGGCGGTGACGTCTTCTTGATGACCTCCCCCAACAGCTTATTAAGGAATAATCTACAAATAGTAAAATTTACCCTTTTTCTTATACAGTTCTATGAGTTTTGACAAATGCATATGATCACCACAATACAGATAAAGAAGAGTTCCCTCATCCCCCTGAAAGTTCCCCCATGCCCCTTCATTGTCAACCCCTGCACCCCTAGGTCTCACACCCCCAGCTCCTGGCAACCTATGATCTTATTTCCATCCCTATAGTTTTGCCTTTTCCGGAATGTTGTATGAATGGAATCATACAGAATGTTGCCTTTTGTGTCTAGTTTCTTTCACTTAGCATAATGCACCTGAGGTTCATTTATACTGTAGCGTGTGACAGTTCTTTGTTCTTTTTTGTTGTTGAGTGTATCCCATTGTATGGATTTACCACCCTGTGTTTATCCATTCACCAGCTGAAGGACATTTGGGTGGTTTTTGATTTTTTACATAATTATTAGAGCCACTGTAAACATTTCCATACAAGTGTTTTGTCTATGTGAACATAGATTTTCATTTCTTTTGGGTAAACATCTAGGAGTGGGATTGTGGGGTCGTGTGGTAAGTGAATATTGACTTAAGAAATTGCCAAACTGTTGTCCAAGTACCTCACAGCAATTAAGAGAGGGCGCCCTCTACTGGCGAAATCAAGAAACCCATCTCATGTAATTAGTATTTGGGTGGTGAACATGATGTAATCTATGCAGAAATAGAAGTATAATGATGTACACCTGAAATTTATACAATGTTATAAACCAATGTTACTGCAATAAACAAAAAATTAAAAAAAAAAGAAACCTATCTCAGAGAAAGGGAGGCTGAGGGCAGGCACAGGGAGGGAGAGGAAGAGGGGGAAGATGGGGCTGGGGGCAGACTGAGGGGTGGAGATAGGGAAGAGAGATGGGAGGGGCAGGAAAAGAGATGGGAAAACTAAGGGGCAGAAAAGGGAAAATTAGAAGTGGAGAAGAAGAGACTCGGGGTAGGGGGCTCCTGAGGGGCAGAGATGGAGGAGACTGTTTTTCTCACGAAAAGGAATAAATTCTTGGTGACATATTTTTATGCCTATGTTAATCTTGTTTCCTCCATCCTCCCCTTCTCTTTGAGGTCTGCAGCCCAGGCTAAGCCGGGTGCTGCCACTTCCGGTTTTTCCTCGGCAGAGGGTCTCTCCGCCCCCATTCCGGCTCCTGCAGCTGGAATGAGCTGGGCAGAGACATTTTTTAAAATGCCCCTTTGGAAAGAAAATAAAAACCAGTGAACTAAAGTGTAAACACACACACATAAAAGTGAATTTAGAAGCTGGTCGTTAGATGAATTGGCTGTTCAGAGACTGACTTACACCAACAGGCTTTCTGTGAGCCAGGCTGCTTCCAGCAGGTCCATAGCCCCTTCCAGAGGGTTCCAGAGGCCACCATTTTGTCGTGTCATTCCAGCTTCCCAGAAAGCCTGGGTGAAGCGGAGGCCAGGGTCTCCTTTAGAGGCGAATTGGAGAATTTAGAGCTAGGAGAGTGTTGACCCACCCGGCTTCAATTTGTAAATGGTAAAAGCAGGTGAGAAGAGAAGGGACTTGCCTGAGGCCGGTACAGCGAGTGAGGCAGGGCTACCCCAGCCTGCGGGGCCCCCACGGCTCTGGCTCACGGAGGCCGAGTGACGGTGTCTAGGCCACAAGCTAGTGACGGGAAGCTGGGACAAGGACCTGGGTGTCTTCTGCCTCCTCTCTTTGCTCTGCTCCACTCAGCCTTGACGGGACTCTCAGGGACATCTGAACTCACATGGTCCTTCAGAAGAACTGATGTCCTTCCTTTTAGAAATGAGGACACCAGAGCCCAGGGACTTCTGGTGACTTCTCCAAAGTCACCCATGCTTGAGTCTGACCTGTTCTTGAGGCCAGGGAGGATGGCCAGGCCCTTCCGTAGCTCATCCTTATTGACGATGCCAAGGGCAGTGGGGCTGCCTGCGGGGGGCCTGCCCAAGGTTGAACTCCCTGTTTTCTCTGTTTGAATCCACAGAGGAAATCGTGGGAGCTGCTGCCTCCAGCATCATGTCCACCCTGACTGACAAGGCCATAGTGAAGAAGGAACTGCTGTGTGATGTGGCCGGGAGGGACAGGTACCAGGTCAATAACAAACACGATGGCAAATACCAGCCGCTGCCTCCCAACAAAATTGTCCAGCAGGCAGAGATGCTTGTGGGGCAGGAGTGGCCGTATTCGCTGACCAGCGAGAACTGTGAGCACTTTGTGAACAAGCTGCGCTACGGAGTCGCCTGCAGTGACCAGGTGCGCCCTCAGCCTGTGTCCGGACCCCAGGAACCAGACCGTTCCCTCAGCTGACAGTGGCTGGGCATCCGTGTGGGCTGGGCTGGGCTGGGGACAGAGGCATGAAGAAGACAAAACAGCAGAGACAGAATCCCTGCCCTTGAGGACGTCACGGTTGGGGTGGGGACAAGGGTGGGGAGACCAGCGAGTCGGCACTGCAGACCAGTGCGGTGAGGGGGCGATGGCCGGGGGCGTGAGTCACAGCCATGATGGTCATCCTAGTTGCCGAGCCCTCCCTGGCCACCCAGCCCTGAGATGGACCCTTACCACAGCCCCAGAGGCAGGTGTTATTATCCCACGTTACAGATGGGGAAACTGAGGCTCACAGCGCTAAGTAGCTTGTCCAAACTCATTCAATAATTAGGTATTGAGTCTCTTTTCTACATGACAGCCATTGTGCAGAGGTGGGATTTGAACCCAGGTGTGTTCTGCTCCAAAGGCCCTGATCAAGGAAGGCTTCACAGAAGAGGTGACACCTGAGCTCAGTCTGACTTAATTCTTTTGAGTAATCTGAAACCGGAAAATAAGCTGGAGATTATCAGGGAATAGGGGCAAAGAGAAGTATAGGCAGAGGGAACAGTGTGAGCCAGGAGAAGCAAAAGCCCAGTCACGTCAGGCAGACTGTTTCTGTGAAGGGCCAGACGGTAAGTATTTGAGGCTCTGTGGCCCGTGGTCTCACCGCTCTACTCTACCGTTGTAGCTTTGTAGCACAAAAGCAGCCTCAGACAATATGTAATTGAATGGGCAAGGCTGTGTTCCAGTAAAAGTGTTTTTACAAAAACAAGTGACGGGGGGCCGGCCCCGTGGCTTGGCGGTTGGGTGCACGCACTCCGATGCTGGCGGCCCGGGTTCGGATCCCGGGCGCGCACTGACGCATCGCTCGTCTGGCCGTGCTGAGGCCGCGTCCCACATACAGCAACTAGCAGGATGTGCAGCTATGACATACAACTATCTACTGGGGCTTTGGGGAGAAAAATGGAAAAAAAAGGAGGAGGATTGGTAATAGATGTTAGCTCAGGGCTGGTCTTCCTCAGCAAAAAGAGGAGGATTGGCATGGATGTTAGCTCAGGGCTGATCTTCCTCACAAAAAAAAAAAAAAGAAAAACAAGTGACAGGCTAAATTTGACCCATATGCCATAGTTTGCCGATTCCTGGTCTAAAATAATTTGAAAAACCACGTACCCCTGCATACATTTTTAGGTGACATCAAACATTTGAAAAATCATAAATGCAAAAAAGTTGCAAAGCACAGAATTTTTGATACGTTGTACACTGCATACATGCTCTAAGTGCATATTTTCTTTTCACCCTTGGAGTTGCACATTTAGCTCATTCAATTAATGAAAAATGTCTGTATGTAATTTAAATCGGTGAGCCAGGCATTATTGTCAAACCAATCAGCCAAATCAGACTCAATTTCTTTTAGTAAAAAAGGTGAAACTTTTTCAACTCAGACAGACATGTTAAAGCACATTTTTATGACAACCATCTCTTTCCAGAATTCGAATCTAAAACAGTATAGAGAAGAGGGAGCCTCCCCGGAGGTGGGTTTGTGGTTACGTATTTGTTCCTGAAGTCCTGTCTGTCTGGGAGCAGTGTATTCCTGAATCCTTTCTATTGGCATCCAGGAATGTTTACACCTTAGTCTGTGCACTGTATACTCAGGGTGGGTGAAGGTTAAGCTTTTGTAAGGCAGGAGAAGGGCTCTGACGTAGGCGAGGTGGGTGAGGTGTTCCCACACCTGCTGGAAGTGAGGACCCAGGCTATTAACTGAAGCACTGTTCTTGGCACTGGGGCCCAGTGGGAACTGCTCTGTGGTGCCAGACAATGACCCTACTGATGGGGTCACCCTCCTTTTAGCTGAGGAGAGTAGACCTGCCTCTGGTCAGGAGGGGTGGCAGGCTGGGGGGTGGGAGTGTGTTGTCTTATCCTGCATCTAAAAGCATGTCCAAAGGCGGTGCTGAGGCCTCAAGGATCAATCTGGGAGACCCCAACTTTTCAAGAGTGGTTGACCCTCCGCCGTGTTTCTGAGGGGTTAGAAGTCAAGAGAGTAGGAGGGACTCAGGGGTGGCAGGTTTCTTCATCTGCTGCCGCCTCTCTTTCTGAACTCCTTCCACTGCAGGTGACTCATTAACTTGCCTTTCTCCTTCTCACTCCTTTGTCAACTTATAAAGCAAATTTGCCTGTTATTTTATCTCAAAATGAGTTTACTTGGGAATAGCTGAAAGAATTACAATTCGGGATGTGCATGCTATGGCAAACCATAGGCAAACCTGGCAAAGAAAAGAGGGAGCTGCGTTTATAGAGAAAAAGTGGGAGTAGGGAGGGGCTGTTCTAAAGGAAAGTCTACTGGGGGAAAGTAACAGTTCAGGGTGACAACAGCTTCACATTGGCTGAGCTGTGGCATTTCTCATTGGCTGAGCTGTGGTGTTTCTCATTGGCTGGGCTGTGACATTTCTCATTGGCTGAGCTGCAGCATTTCTCATTGGCAGAGCTGTGGTGTTTCTCCTTGGCTGAGCTGTGGCATTTCTCATTGGCTGAGCTGTGG